AGCTTCAGGCAAAGATCGGGATGAGAGGAGCAGGTTCAGGTTCACCTTGGAGCGCCCCAATAAAGCCAAGACCGCGAGAAGCGAGAGCCAGCGCAAATCAATAATAATTGTATTGACTGAGTGAAACAAAGCAGATCAAAAGGTCGAAGATGATTTCTACTTCTGCCGCTGAGATTGTTTTCATGAAACCGAAGAAGATGCCAAGTATTTTTGGAAAAGAAGATGTAATTTCCTTATGATCTATCCCTAACTTTTTTCACTTTTAGCAAGCAGCCTAAATGACAAAGAACTAAGAAAGTCTCACTAAGTGATGGATTCATAAAACCCAAAGGTTCCCTAAAATTGAGAATACCAGCAGTAACTTGTAAACTTGCCGAATTGTCAGAGCGATCATTTCCGTATCATCACGAATCCAACTCGGTTGCGGCATTAACTCTAACTCTCTCAAAGAGCCGAACTTGCGAGAGAGCTCAGGCTTGGAGCAATTCTCCAACGGATCTCCAAGGTGGGGAAGTTAGTCAGGTTGGAGAAGTTTCCTAAGCTGGGGAAGCGGCCGCGCATGCTCAGTGAGGAGAAGTTCAGGGGCAATTAAGGGGTTGCTGCCTGTGGAACTTGTTTCCAAGCAGGGGTTAAGGGGTGATTTAAGTTAAAATATGGTGGGTTTCGGTTCAAGGGGTATTTGAAGGGGTGGAAGAGTCTCCATTGGAACGTAAGCAGAATTCCCCTGAACACGGAAGAGGGGAAAACTTTCAGGGGTAAACTAAGTTCATTGTAAGATCATCTTTCAGTTTATAAATCATTTTGGAACCCTCTCTGAAAATTCCCCTCACGATATATAGATTTCATGACCAACAAAATCAGGGGAAATCAAATACTCCTGATATAGGAGAAGTCGACCTGATTTCATATGAAAGACTTCATGATGTTTCAGTTATTGTTATTCACCTTTGGGAAAATCATACCCTAGTGTTCTTGTACTCATTTAAGGATTGTCATTCCACTTAACTGATAGTGCTCCGAAATGATGATCGATGAGCCGCAATGAGCATGACTGCCAGAGAAGCTCCTCCGAATAAAGATCGTCTCTTCAGAGCTGATAACAATGAGTAATCGTCGGGCGGTAAATGATCATTATAAGTGAGAGATTTCGCAAATGAAGCTGCAGCAGATGGGGCTCCTCCTTATGCGCATTTATTCATATATAATGTCTCGCACCTCGACGATAAGCAAAAGTCAAAATTTTGCAACTGCCTGTTGGCCGTTGTCAACATATCATTTGTCACTGCAGCATCGATAGAGGCTCTCCTCCCCAGACAACAAGTTCCTAGCTTCGACGGCAGATTCCTACAGCACGCAGAGAAATGTTTTGATGGTATGGTTATAAACTTCATGGTAAAGTTATTCTTATGGATTTCTGTACCTAAAATAACAAATACAAACAGATAAGGTATCAGGCGGATTTTGAAAATCTTTAAGCCATCTTACAGAGCCGAACGTAAATGCTTTTCTTTCTGTGCCTGCATCTATGACAAACGGCAGTTGGCTAAATCTGGCTGTATCTATGTTATTAATGAAGTTGCCAAACCGAGAGGCAGCGAATGGAGATGCTCATGGCGGATGGGCAGGAGATGGGGACGGAGAGGCCTCATGGCCAATTAACCCGCTAATTAAACGGCTGCCACGGTAGCCAGTGGCTGCTGTACAGGAAGCTCTTCGCTCTGCCGGCGAATGTGTTTTATGCCCCGTTATCGGCCGAAAAAGCGAGGCCTCATGAATTCCAACGTCACTGGAGTTAAAAATTCGCAGCGACATTTTCTGGACCGGCTGCCACTTCATTAACTCCAAATTGATGGCTTCAATTAGGCAACAAGGTCCCAGTTTCGTTCCCAGTCGCAGTCCCAGTCCCAAAACCAATACCGATTCCGATTCTCAGGCAGCTGCATGTCCCCGATTCCCGATCCCCAATTCCCAGTTCCAGTCATCAGTAATTAGCGCAGAGATTTTCAAATTGCCGAAACTTGTTGGCCAAAAAATGATGAGGATCACCTGCTGCGGTTTCACTTTCGCAAGATGGCGAAATGAAATCAAACGAATATGAATTCCGTTTGCCGAATTCTCCGATTGCAGCTGCCGGGGATGTTCGTAGAAATTTGGCTTGTCTTTTTATTTCGGGAGTCGTTAATTAGCTGGTTCCCGAAATGGTATTCTCGTGTTAAAACATTGATTCGATTGGCGCGCCTAAAAGGTGTCGCCGAAAGCCCAGCTTTTCGGCTTACTTACTCGCTCATAAAACTTTCAGCCACAAAAAATATATAAAAAGATTATTCGATGCCATGCAGAGCAGAAAATATCCCGAGAATCAAAAGGCGCCGTGTCCTTTTTTTCGGTTGGCCCATCATTAACGCTCATTGGGGTCGAAACCGAAATTCTGGCAGCGGATTTTTGAATTTCCAGCTGCTCACTCCTGTCAACTTTTATGGAGCTTATGGCCTGGGTTTAATAGGTAATGCTCGTTTAGCAGCGCGGCCCCAAATGACCGGCAATTCATTAAGATGCAGGCAGGATAGCGAATATATGGCCATGGTTAAGTGTCTGAATCAGTTCTCAGTCCCACACTTTTGGTCATGCGAAAAGCACTTCAGATATTCCAAATTCAAAGTGCGGGGAGAATTTTTGATCATGTAATTGCTGGCCAAAGAAGCTCGAAAGGAACCCGAAAATCGAGAGGAATTTTTCCCATACCCACTCCGAGCCGCATTCTGGGTCTGTTTCCCACATTATGCCAGACACACCTCCTGAGAAAAGCTGCTCCAACTTAATTTGAATGTTTCACCAGGTTCCTATATCCAGAGATTCTCATTAGTCTGCAACTAGTACCTCGCCAAAGTTCACACGACACGAACGTCCCACCCTCACTCTGGAAGGTATTTCCCCCGGATTCCCATTCCCAGATTGAGCAACTGTTTCGGTTCTCGTGTGACTCTCTGGATTCCCGATTCTCGCGATGAGCTGAGAAGCAACAGCATGTCCAGAACCCTGATAACTGCGCGGATCGAATGGTATTCCCACCCCTATACGGCCTCTATAACCACACTATCTGCACCTGCAATTCGCTGGATGCGCTTCTGATTTCGGGGTGGTTTCGACGCGTGCCGCAGTCCGTGAGAACTACAATTAGTTATTGTTCTGTTTACCCACATTTGGACTTACAGCAGTCTGTCTGGATAGACAAATTCAATGAGCATAACGGTTTTTGTTTTTAGAAATAATAGAGATTTTATCAAGTCTGATATGTCTCAATATAACTATTGGGAAACCGTAGTGGACGACCATATCTCTCAATCATAGTCTTCTAGTCTTTCCGAGATATTTATGTTTCAGCATTATTGCAATTGTGTCTTGAAATTTATATTTGACTCCTTCTGAGAGTTCAACCTGATCATTTGTGCTTTTGCGTGCCACGAAAGATCGTGTGTAACTCATGATCGAATCGATTTCACAGGGCTGGGCTCTGGTTTTCGCCAAATTGCGATCATTTAAGCCGCAGTTGAAGCCTAAACGCTGCTCCTTTCGCCCAGCTAGGCACTTCAGAAAGCGTTTATGTTCATGCAACTGCAGTGGTTGCAACTTGCCACTCACAGCTGCTGGCGAATAAACCAACAGACTGGCAAACAAACAAACGATATCATCATCATCGTCGAGGGGCAAAGGAAAGAAGAATCGAGCGATAAAAAGATTTTTGTTGCTTGATTTCGTTGCACCAAAAAAGGCAACGGCAACTCCCATTAAATGTCCCAAAAAGGCAAAGGCGCCGTGTTGCAGATTGTTTGTGTTGCTGTTGCAGATTGTTGCTGTTGCAGATTGCTGGCGCCCACCAAGTCGAGGGAATCGGCGACCACCGCGGGTATTGCAATCCGTGGCTGCAAGGCCACGCCTACCAAACGCCCACTGAGCCAGCGTTTAAAGCGTATCCACAGATTTGACCAGGCCATCCAGGTCGATCCAGTGCATATGGGATCCTAAACTGAATCACCAATCGTTATATTTTACTAGTCCAAACTGCTTAAGCAATTTTTATAACAGAAAAGAATAATCCGCGATGGATTTTCAGTGATAGGCAATTCTCACAAAAGGCCAAGTGGGCATCTCTGAATGCGATGCCGACCCAAGCTGCAGCATCATTAAAGCAGCTGCATTTAATTTCAATGCCCATTTAGGACTTGGCCCCTCGAAGGGCGCTTTTCCTCCCTGATTCGCCCGATTGTGGGGTCCTGAGCCTTGGAGTCTATGAAGGCCCCCGACTTTTTAGCGGCAGCTGCCTTGCATTTCTTACAGCATTTTTGCCGCGACTAGTTTTGCGGGCAACACGTGCAACTGCAACTGCAACTGCATCCCAGCATCCCATCTCACCCAGAACTGGGTTTCCACTGCGCTTGTTGTATCAATTAAAGCTGTGCTTGATTTTTCACTTGCGTAGGGCGGACGACAGGTGCAAAGTGCTACAACAGCTCAGAACCTCCAGAACCTGCCTGAATCACCGTCTCCCAGCGATTTGAATTTTTCCCTTCAGTTAAATTTCAGGCCTACAGAAGAGGTCAGAGTTGTAGTGGTCGGTAAGGTAAATAGCTTTATTTTTTTACTTTGGATTAATATTAGTTTGATTATCCCAAAAACAATTTCAATAAATCTAAAATAAGTTTCATAAATGATTTAACTTTTTCATTATAATTGGGATACACATAATTATTTCACTTAATTATTTCGAAACAACGTTTGGCTTCCAAGGAACTTGACTCATATGGGTCAACCAATCAAAGCACTCCACGATACTAGCTATTGATCATGTTCGCCTGGTGCCTGAAATCAATAAATGTTCGAAAAATGTTTGTTTCAGAATTCTGATTTCTGCTGACGAACGCCAATGAACTGCTCCGAGGTTCAGCAATCTGTCAGCAATCTGCGAAAAGATTGATTTTCTCACTGTAATAAAAGCTGCCAAGTTATTGTAAAAGATTTAAACAATTTTTATTTGATATATGGTATCAAAATATATAACGAATCAATTTTAGTATGAAAATACAGATATGGTAGTTCTCCTAAATAATCTATAACATTTTAAATTTCGAATGATTAAATATTTAAGTATGCAGCGGTTAAAACTACACATTTCGCTGAGGAGCCTGGCCATTACTTGCCGCTCCTTTCTGGAGGCTAATGCGCAGCTGATTCACGAGATGAAAGGCCTCCTGATTCTTTTGGCTATAGGCATAGAATTCCACTTGGGCTAGCAAGCCCATGATGTGGGTCAAATCGGTGCGAGAATCCCGCATTGGAAGCTGAGTATTGGATGTCCTAGGGGGAGCAGGAGCCACAGAAATATTCGGTTGATAGCTGGAAGATGTAACAGGTGCAGGGGGTCCGGGCTTATTTGGTTGATAAATAGATGTTGTTGTAAGTGCAGGAGCCACAGTATTAGGAGGAGGATATCGGGATGTAGGCACTAGTCCTGTGGTGAAGGTATTGCAAGAAGCAGCGGTTGTAACTGGTTGAGAAGCCACAGGAACAGCTGGCGGATATCTCGGTGGTGGATACCACACCGTGTTAGCTGGTCTAGGAGCAGGAGGCACAAATGATGGATAACTATTGTTTGTAACATAACTAGATCCAGGAACCAATGGATAGCTGGAATTGGCAACAGGTGGAGGAATCACAGGGGCAGCTGGTAGATATGTCGCGCTGTAAGGTTGCCTGGGTACCAAATTCGAATGATAGTTAGTTACTGTAGGTGGTGCTGGACGAACTGGTGGATAAGTGACGGAAGCCGATACAGCATTTACAGGAGCAGTGGTGGGATAAGTGGAGGTGTTGCTTGGAGCAAGAGCTGGTGGATGTCTCGTAATGGCAACTGATGAAGAAATCGTGGGGATAACTGGGCTGACGGGCTGATAATTGGAAATATTAGGCGGTGCAGCCGACACCGGAATATTCGGAAGCGGTCTAGAGGTAGTAACTGATGCAGTATTATAGTTTTCTATGGCTGTTCTTTTCGGTTGCCCATGCAAGCTTATTGAACTCGATTCGCATTGATTTCCTTCCGTCTCCAGGGGCAATCTTCGCTTTTCAGCTGTTCCAGGAGCCTTGGAGAGTACAACTGGAGATATTCGATCAACTTGATCCCGTAACTGATTTAGAGGTCCTGCCGGTGGTATTCGATCAACTTGCTCCTGCAAGAGATCGGTGCGAACCCGTATCACATCGGGGACGAGGTTATTGCGAACCCTTATCGGATTAGGATTCTGTTTCTCGGGTAGAGCTTCTTGGTTAATATTGCAAGGATCACCCGAGAAAATATCCGTCAGAACAGGCGTTTCTTTTACTTCCTCTTGATTTTGAGACTCTTGCATCGTTATGCTAGGTTTTTTCTCCTCATTTGTTGTTGTACTTGGCTCACTATTTTCTTTGGCTTCTCCATTTAATTTCAAAGGCACTTCTGTCTCAGATTTTATGGGCATAGTTGGGAGACTATCAGGTGTTGGTTTAATTTCTTTGCATATTCCAGGATCACTAGACGGATTTTCTTTATCGATTACGGTATTTGATTTTGACACTTCATTTTCGGTGGGGATTTGGTTGAGCTCTTCATTAATGGAAGGGTTTTGAGTCAAATCATGATTTGCAATAGTCTTTGGTTTTATTTTGTTTTCAATATTTTCTAGCTCTTCTTGGCTTATATCATCGATAACTACCAGGTCAGGTATCGGTTCACCTTTAAATGAGATATTGGAATTGGTTCCTCCCTCGGAGTTAAGTTCACGAAGTATCAAGGAGCTTCGCTTTTCACTTGCCATGTCGTCTGCCTCTTCTTTTGCGGGTATCTTTGGTTTTCTGACATATGTTTTTAAAGAGCTCCGTAACAAAGTTATTTCAGCCTTCGATTTTGTAGGAGTCAAAAATTCCTTTATCGAACTCTGTTTTTTTTCCGTAAAATTTGCCTTATTCTCCAACTTTCGATTTCGCTGCCTTAAAGAATCTGCGTCTAGTTTTCCATCGACATGATCCGCATAGTCCTTTAAGTTAACCTCCCCCAATTCATCGTCGAGGATTATAAGGGAGGAAGTGGAGATGACAGATTCAGGGTCAAGGGTTTCCTTTTCGGGAAAACATAGAAGAGAATCTCCTTCCTCTCCATCGCTGCAGAGGTCCACAACTGTTGGATCAGCTGGTGTCTTAGACTCCTCTTGCTCCAACGTAGAACTCTCAGAATCCTTATCGCTCCGATCTTGCTGGGAGTCTTCCTGTGATGGCACTATACCGTTCTTCTCGTCCAATCGTTTCAGCCATTGGCCCACCCAAGCCATCAGTTCCTCAAATGATTTTGCAGGTAGCGACTTCTGTAGCTCATCGCGACATCTTTTCTCTAAAAAGTGACCATTTGGGCCTTTTTTCACCTTCAGGTTGTTCTGACCAAAGCGAACGAAATGCTGCCATGCCCTACAGTTTGTATAAATTTATGGTTATGTACACGAGATTTTTTACAATATATAGTCAATATTACTCACATGGAATTCTTTCCCAGTTCGGTACACTTTTGCATTATTGATCGTTAACTCGACATTTAAAATACATAAAAACAAAATTTAATTGTGGATGCTGATCACTGCATCACAACATCCTAGTTACTGAAGAGCGGTTAATACTTGTGTTATGTTATGCTTGCTTATAGCAATGCGTAAGTCGTAGTTTTGCTGAGAATTAATACATCAATGAACGTAGAAACACATATGTACCAGTATGGGGTTTATCTGAGATTTGTATGTGCCTATAACTGTATCTTAAAGATTCCATTAAGCGTTGAGGATCGGTGTGAGAATGGCGCAGCTTCTTTGAATTTCCTTTGAGTGTCTTGTCCAATACCGTAAGAGCAACTATATTATAATTAAAAGTCAAACCATCCATTAATTGTCAAAAGTAACAAGTAAACTAGAATTCTAAACCACTCACGAGAAAATACATACACTCTTTACAAACGACGCTTATTCCTTTAAAGCCAATGCGTAAATGAGTCCTGAAGGGCTGCGTATGCGCAGTACTTTCTGAAATCCAGGTAGAACCAACAAAATTTATTTTCCTATCTTGAGCGTTCCAAAGCAATATCAAAACAATTTCTCATAAGAGATGTGTTCGTGACTGTTTATTGTACACGAGTGGCGCCCTTTTTTAGAAACACAGCCATAAAACCCTAATTTTGTAGAAATCCTCGGAAAACGTTGTTCTAGGAATGCAAAATTTTAAAAAGTCCTCGCAGAACAAAAAGATATTTAACTTCGTCCCTTCTACTAAGATAAAAGAAATACTCATCTCTGATTTGTATGGCTTCAAGAGGTTTTTATCCGATTTCCAGCACTATTGGGCGCGGAATTTGAATGAAATGTCAGGTAGGGCGGGAAACTGAAAAAAAATTCAAGATTAACGTACAAAAAATTGAAACTATATATCTTTTATTTTATTTGGCTGGTATTGTTTTTCGAATTTACTTACTAATTCGTTTTTTAATTCTGTTTTAAGTCTTAGGTTACTCTTTCTCTTATTTAATTTAATTATGACCTGAGTGTTTTGGCGGCGAATGAAAGTGGTTTACAAGGCTTCCAGGTTTGATTTATAACTATAAGGTTAAGTTTTAGTTTTTAAACGATTGTAACAAATGCATGCATTTTCTATATTCAATATTAGTGAACTTAAAACTAGACATGATTTCCTACAGTGCTCCGCTGGTCGCCGCGGTTTATTCTTAGGTTACCCATACAGCCCTCGAACAGGATGTCCGCGATGGCCTTTCGCGCCAGAATACGTTGCGTAGGTGCCATTTCCTCGTACTGAATGGCCCAGGATCTGGCCAGCACTTCAGACGACTCGCTGAGAATAGTTTTTACAGTTTCTCGTTCGTTCTCAGGTTCCGGTTGGATTGAGCAGGTATTTTGTTTATTTTCCAATGGATGAACAACACATGTTTCCTCCTTGACAAAAACTTGCTCCATTCCCATCGTTGGGTCCTCATCCTCTGGCTCTATTATCTCCACTTTTGGACTGAGCAAGGAACCCTCTTCGGATTGTGGAGTATTAGTATTGTCATCCTTCATAGGCCAATCACAAACGCTGTCAGTGTTGAGATCGGCATTTTTCAAGTTACATTTTTCCTAAAATATTAAACCTTACATTAGCTAAAATTACATTCCCTTATGAAAATTCTCTTAACTTACGTCCTTTTCTCGCTGATAGACCTGCTTTTGTTTATCCCCGCGACCTTTCCTTGTCCTGTGCTGAAACGTCTCCTGGGTCAGGAGAAAGCCCATATAGTCATAGAACCAAAGAGTGGGTTTACAAAGGTCAGAGTGCATGCCCAATTCCTTCAGCTTGATTATCCGCATCTGCTCCCGCCTGTAATTTGTGCGAAAAATGTTGATGCGTCTTCCAACTTCAGTACGTGTGGCATTCGGCTGGATCTCGCGGAGTTTCCTTTCTAAGGACTCATAGGCCCGGTTCCGAAGTTCCTTATTTCGATAATTGACATGTTGGAGGTCCCACAGTTCTGGCATTCCCTGATAAAGTGCCAGGAACTCACGCCAGAACTGTCGTTTGCCGGCACTAAAGCGATCTGGGAGAGCAGCTGCCATCTAAAATCAAATGCTATTTAATCAATTTAAATTAAAAATAAAAAAAATAAGCGTGTAAGTAATATATTATGAAAAAAAAAATAACTTAAAAATATATTGATTGACTTACTTTGTTGATGAGAGGAACTAACTTAAAAAAATATTTGTATATTGCAAAAACGAATGGTTGATAACACTGGAAAATAAACAAATCTTATTACCTTTTTGATGTTTTACGTCAATCAGCTGTTGTTGTTTACAATCAGTTAGAGTTGCCAGACCTAACGTTAAAGTGTTGGAGAACGCCTCACATACTCCCAATGGTTTTGTTGTTGTTTTGGATCTGGATACATATATTTCCACCACCTGGCGCGGCGACCGGCGTTGTACTGCGTTATGTTCTGCTCAAGCGACAATCACGAACTGAATTGATGTAGAGCTAAATCAGCGGGTGTGTGTGTGGGTGTGTGTCTCGATTGAGTGATTGATTAGTCGGCTGACGGATTTCAATGTGTGCGTGTGGAAATGCGCAATAAATCATTAAATTCTCCGGCATTTCTAGTAATGTAAAGCGTAGCTGAGAATGTTTTTTGTCATTTCGCCGTTTTTTAAAAGTTCTTTATAGTTATTGACATTATTTTTAGGTTTATTTATAACCAAAAAACGCTAACTCCCCCCAATCATAGATGTTGGTGTTTCTGAGAGAAAGACCGCAGAGAGGGGAAATCAAAAAATATTCGAAATCAAACTAGAGGCAGACCTGCGCATTTCCCATTTTTACACAATCAAGATTGTCGGCATTTGCCAATCAGCCAAGACTAATAGTATTAATACCTTGTTTAAGGATATTACCCTCTGATACTCCAAAAGTTACCAAAATTCTCACTATTAAATATGATTGATATAATAGTACGCTTCGATTGGCCGTTATTTTAGTAAGCGGTTCTCTCTCCGTGCCTGAGTGTGTGTGCGTGCATGAGGGTGGAGCAAGAGGAAGCTAAACTAAGGGCAGACATGCGCACTCAAATCAAATAATCAGCTCATATATTAAGCCGACTTTTTGTGATGGCTAGTAATAATAGGGGCCATAGCTCAAGATAAGCACACTAGAGGTCAAATATCAGCTCCGAAGTAAGGGATAGTTAAAAACCAGCTATATAATATTGTTGGAAAAACATATGTAAGAGGGGATAAGCTATCTCGCCTTATAATAATAATCAATTTCATCTTAAGAACAAAGATTCGCATTAATATTAAACAAAATAAATAATTAACTAACAATAATTAACTAAAAAGCTAGGCTTTGGTTTGATTACTTTTATTTGGTTCGAGTAAAAATTATTATTGCCTTAGATCTAGTGATTGATTGCATCTTCGAGATGCATCTGTTTGCAAAGCTAATGCTCTTTGGCTGTAGCTGTTCCTCCCCATCCTCCATGTGATGCTCTCGTTTTGTAGCATCCTACGCGTCGTCGTCATCCATTTCCCGCATCACCTCGTCGGCTCGTGTGATCAAACCAATGAGCCGGTAGTTCTCCTTGTACAGAGCAAACTCCTCGAGTAATTTAAGGTACTTTCGGGCATCGGCGCAGCTAATGACATTCGATCCATCGGGATCCGCATTATTGTTGTCGTCCTGTCCAGAGTCATGGCGACGTTTTGTGCCCTGGCGCGTATTAGGCGGCTTATCGATTGACAAGGGCGAACGGATTTTCCGTTGCCGCATCTGCTCGATGTATTCCATCTCATCCTCCACATTGGCGGCCAGAACCTCGGCCAGCGAGGTGACACTAGAGCGACCATTGTTTATGTCTTCATCGAGATCTGCTGGTTCTTGGTCAATTTCAGGTTCCAGCTCAGCTTCTTGCTCCTGTTTGATGTGCACTGTGGGTAGAGCTTCAAGTGTCTTTTTGCTCGAAATATGGGTTTCGGTCTGAGACTGATCCTCCTCAGTCTGATGCAGCTGAAACTCTTCTGGATCCTTGGGTTCCATTTTTATGTCCTTTTCTTGCTTGATCTCTAACTTAGGCGGCGGTACAGAGGGACCCTTGTCCTGCTGCTGAGGGGAAGGCATCTGTGTGATGCTCTGAGCTAGGGTGGCCAGTGGTATGATGGTCATGGTCATAGGCTGTCCCCCTGCTTGTGGTGGCACAATGGGCGTAGCTAGGAGCACTTTTTGGGACGTTCCTGGCGGGGCGTTTGTCTGCAGTGGCAGTCTAACCAGGGGCGGTAAGGGCTGTAAAGCTCTGGCCAGATTAAGTTCACTCAACGAAGGCTTGACATCTGGTTCCTCCAGGTCATCCTCTCTACCGCTTACGTCGCCGCCGTCCACATCCACCTCGTCATCTTCGTCGTCGCCGCTGCTGCGATGATTACTGCTCAGCGGGCTGCCCAAGCTAACATCTTCTTCGTCCTCTCCCACGTTTCGTGGCTCACATTCTGGTATGCACTCCGACATGACGTCCTTGACAATATCCTTGATCTGCACAGAGTAGCCCTGTGTGTAGCCGATCTTTAGCTGTCTGGTGTCGCTGTGTTGGATGTTATAGGTGCGCCGGAATTTGTCGCACCACTCCTGATGCGGAAAAAAGTGCGCCAAGCCCATCGAGCTCTTAAATTGCAGTGCCATCTTCTGAATAAGTCCGTCGGAGATGCTGAAATCTTTGTAGTACATCATGCGCCGGATCCAATCATACACGGCTTTGCCCAGCATCGATACCCTAACAGTCTTTGTTTCCATAGTCTTGGCATCCTGGCTCCGACGCGTTCGCTGATCCCAAGCGTTTAGAATCTCCTGGCGCTGCTGGACAATCCGCTTGATTTGATCCGGACTACAGTTGAACAGACGACCCACGTGTTTGTAAACTGGCAGTCGGTCGTATTCCCTTAAAGCAGCGACTTTTTCATTAAGTGCCAGGACATTCTTGCGCTTGATGCGGTTGTCGAAGGCCACTTTCTCGGCGGCCGGTAAGCTGGGAGCGTTAGTGGCTGGGGTGATCGAAGTGGGTGGTGCAGGTGGAGCTGAAGCTGGCGCAGGCGCAGGGCTTGAGGTAAGAACGTCGGTGTCAGTGGCCTAAAGATAAAGAAAAAGATAATAAATATTGTTGAGATTATGCAATGCTCCGCTTTTATGACACGCTTTAATCACTAGCACTTTGTCCTATTCATTTAATTTAAATCAATTGACTAAGGTCTAAGTAAATCAATTTTTAGAGAATTCGGGCATTGCATTAAAAGTGCTACTGACAAGCTTACAACACTAAGCGGGGCTTGACTGTGCCCACTTACCTTTTCCTGGTTGTTGTCTTGCGCTTTGGAGGACTCCTTGTGCTCCTTTTGCCCCTTCTCCTTCTCCCCCTTCAACGTTCTTTGCAACTTGCGTTTTTCACGTATCCGCATTGTTGTTGTTTTCCCGTGCAACTTACACGGCAATTGCTGTTTGTTTTCTTTTTGTTCTTGCCCTTGTTATTGCTGCTGGTGCGCCCACTCAATTCCACCCGCCCCTTTCACCTTCTCTTGTCCTCTCACTTACTCACTCCCGCCTGTTCGTGTGTGTCCGATTGCCAGTGTGTGTGCGATGGCTACGATTATGCGCGTTGACTGCCAAGCGAATTCAAATCATTTCGTCATTGCTTTTCTTGCTTTTTGTTGGCCTTTCCGTGTGCTTTGACTTAATTCGCTTTTGTTTTCTCGTTCTAGGTATTTTATTTGCCTTGCTGACTGTGATTTTCCAACTGGCAGTGCGCTGCGTTTTGCGTATTTTCCGATGTCCGTGTGAACTAGGCGACGACCCATACAAAAATAGCTGCCGCTTTATCTCGCTTTGTTTTTTTCTGCCGCCTCTCGCTCTCTCTCTCAGTAGCATGCGCAACGTGGGCAGCTAGAAAGAGAGCGAGATTCGACGTGTGCACTGTGCGAGAGGGTGCAACTGCGCATGCGACAATTTTACTGTTACTTTATTAAGGTGGCAACGCCGTAGGCGATCGTTTTTTTTTTGCAAAATTATTTTAATGGAAAATTTGAAAAAGAAATACACATGTACATACATATGTATATACTTGCATACATACGTACATATGTACATATGTACATATATCTTTTATTGTGCACTTTTTGTATTAGAGTCTATGCTATTAAATGTAGAATTTTCTAACAGTACCCAACCCCCTTTTCTCGATAATTGTACTTATGCGTATGCTATGAAGCATAAGTACAATCAATTTTAAACATGAGACAATACATTTCGACAATATTATTTATTTATGTATAATCACTTCGTTTCTCAGTTTAGCCAAACTGGGTGAAGTGTCTCAGGATGTGCGACATAGCCGCCGGATTATCGGCGGGGACCATGTGGCCAGCACGGTTAACCCAGAACATGCTGAAGTTGCCGTAAGTCTTCTCGTAACCCTCCAGAACTCGATCCACGGTGATTCCCACACGAGAAGCGGCCTGGTACGAAGCCTTGTCTGTCCATTCCATGTCGGCGATCCAGTTGACGGCTCCGGGAGTGGCGCAAATCAGGTCAAGGCCTCCGGAAAATACTCCAACCTTTACGGTGGTGTTGCTCAGCAACTCACCGACTAAAAATTTAAAAAAGTAAAAAAGATTCATACTCCGACTAGCATACAAGACCTAATCCACTTACCAATATCCACGGCGGGCTTCATGAAATCTCCCATGAGCCTGGTGAAGGTGGTGCCGCTCTGAGCGCCCCACTTGACACCTGTGGTGATTCCCAGGGCTTCTGTGACGGGTCCCAACATAAGATCCTCCAGCATCTGGTCGCGATCCTCATCGACGTCAAATTTCACCAGAGTGCGGTACATGAGCTCTGGAGAAACATGTGGTTAGGATGAACGCTATAAGTTAAGTTACAGTTTTTACCCTCAGGAGTCATGGCAGCTCGGGCCATCAAGCGGTACTGATCACCCAGTGTGGGGGTCTCCACGTTATAGAAGTCCACTCCCTTGGACTCCCGCAGCACCACGGACTGGGTGGAGCTCCACTGCAGAGTGGCTTGCGTCCACCTTTCACGATCCACGTAGTCCTTGGTCTTTAAAGCCGAAGCTTCAATCTTGTCGTGACCATCCTGATCCACGATTCCCAACTGCAGAAGGAAAGGAGCCCACGAGAGCACAGAATCGATGGGGGAGGTCCAGGGATCTCCTAGGGCCACAGAAACAAAATTACTCTCGATCTCTCCACGCTGGATGGCATATTCCAGCTCCAGAGCAAACTCCGGAGCCATCTTTCCGCCGTAACTCTCGCAAAAGATGTGCAAGGGCACGGTCTTGAATTCCGGGTGGTTATTGTAGAAGCCCTTCATTAGCTCAACCAGGTCCAGAGCGATCTGCTTGTTGGTTGTCGTATAGTAGGAGGATCCGTCCACGTAGCTGAAGCCACTGCCCACCGGGTTGTCAATGAACATCACATTCATGTCCTTTACCCAAGTCCAGTCGCGGTAGCTGCCATCGAGCTTCAGAGGACCCAACTCCTCAAAGTTTCCGTATCCCGTAGAGGAGGCACCCGGACCTCCTTGCAGCCAAATGGCCAAAGGACGCTCCGTGTAACTGGTAACGTTGGCGGTGGTGTAGTAGAGCCAGTAGAACATATGGGCGCCAGTCCTGACATCCACAAATCCCCAATCCTGCTCTCCGGATCCATAGCCCTTGCGTGCTGTAAGTTTAGTTTAAGTTTAAATAGAAAAGATCCTTTTACACAGGAAAAATCATCATTGAAAATCATTTTAAAATCTTTGAAAATATATTGTATTATTATTTTAAAAGGTATTTGAAGTAAGTCCGACCGCATGAACACACTTCGTTGATAAGCCCTGATTTCTGTGAAACACTTGAGTGTAATCTGGTCTTTAAGTATATTAAATGGCTGCATGAGTAGCTCCGTAGATAAGATTAATTGTTATAGATATCAACTACTTCACTATATTGTCTAATAAATAATGCCATACAGATGGCTACCTGATGCGAATAATGAGGGTCAATTTGTTATAAAATAACATTAATCATATTTATTATGTATGAAGGAAAAAAGAATCTATTTATACAAATTAATTAATATATTTTAATTAAATAATTCAGAATTGCCTGACTTGTAGTTTCGTTAAGTTCTTCAGCTTCTGCTGACCTGGTCTAGAAGCCATAAAAAACGTTTTTTTTGGAACACTTTCTCGCTGATTAGCACCCCTGACCGGAATATAAAACGGGCTACTCACCGTCAACAGAACCCAAGCTGGCGATTGACAACAGAGCCAAAAGAGCGATGATAACCCGTCCAGCCATGGTGCACCAAAACCAATTTCAATTCCAAGAGACACCGCTTGAGACCCAACCGAACGCTTGGCAGTTCCACTGCCGAATGATCGCAGGTTGTCCCCAGACATTGAAGGTAAAATAGCCATGCCGCCTGACACACCTGGAATGTGTAATCTTCTAGCTGGGGAGTTCTGTTTGCAAAGTATTTATGGCCCTTCGTTGGACGATGACGAGGCTTTTTGATCAATCTGGGTCTGACACTTGTCCGTTTTGGCAAATCTCTGTGCCATATATTCATATAAAGCCTCTATGTCACCCGAAATAGTCGCATAGATTGCATTTGCTATCTTGAATGGTTTTTCTAAGGCTTTCCACATGGTTTTCGCTTCTCAGTTGCAGTTTATCCCATGTGACATACCTGAAAGATAACGAAGGTTTGTATTTTAAGCCTTACTCTCAAGGTTTGACTTATAGCAGATTGATTATTATATCAGAAACAAATTCTGATATGCAGAAAAGTGACATCTTGAAAATTATCTTTTGATTTGATTTAAGATCTTAAAAAATGACAATTAAGATTAGATTGAACCAGTCTCATAATTGTTATACTTTGAAAAGCCAAGTCCGATGACCCACATTCATTCAATTTCTAAAGCCATAAAACCAAAAGTAAATGTAATAAATATTTTGTCAATTAAGCAATCAAAAATGCTTTTTATTTTTAAACAAAGCAGTTAACAATTGGAGTATATACTGGCTTTATTGTTTTAAAAATAATAAATCTATCCAAAAGAGGTGAACTCTCGCAGAACGTGACTCATGGCCGCTGGATTGTCCGCAGGAGCCATGTGACCACTTCGGTTGATCCAGAACATGGTGAAGTTTCCGCCTGACTTTTGATAGCCCTCCAAAATGCGGTCTACAGTAATGGAGTTACGTGGAGCAGCAAGGTATTCGTCCCGTCGACTCCAGTCCAATTTGGCTATCCAGTTTACGGTGCCGGGAGTAGCACAAATCAGATCAAGGCCACCGGAAAATACACCCACCTTCAGAGGAGTTTTCTCCAGCAGTTCGTTCACTGAAATTTTTTGAGGTGTTATATATGTAGTTCAGCAGTAATACTAAGAGGAGAATCATTACCAATGTGGATAACAGGCTTCATAAAGTCGGTTCTATGAATGTCGAAAGTGGTACCGCTCTGCGATCCCCAAACAACGTTAGAGGGGATGCCCAGGGTTTCGGCCACTGGACCACGCATCAGTTCCTCCAGCAACTTAGTGCGGTCCTCGTCAATGTCGTACTTCACCATGGTGCGATATATACGTTCTGTAGGAAGAGAATTGAAATTTTAAGGAAAATGCTCAATTCGAAAATATAGAAATCACCTTCGGGAGTCATGGCAGTTTGTCTCTGGTAGAGCCCTCCCTTCGTCTCCTTCAAGATATTGTAGAAGTCCACGCCTTTGGAGGCCTTCATCACCTCCCACTGGGTGTTGCCCCACTGGTAGGTGGCCTGAATCCATCGCTCCTCCTCTACCAATTGCGCGGTAAAGTTGGCGGCCTCCTGAATGGCATTATATCCCTCGTGGTCCACAATTCCCATTTCCTTGAGAAAAGGTCCCCAGGCCAGTACAGAGTCAATGGGCGAGGTCCAAGGGTCACCCAAAGCCACTGACGTCAAGTTGCTCTTAACCTCTCCACGTTCCTTGGCGTAGTACAGTTCCAGAGCAAACTCCGGAGCCATCTTTCCACCGTAACTTTCGCAAAAGATGTGAAGTGGTACCTCCTCGAATTCTGGGTGCAGGGTATAAAAGCCCTTCATCAGCTCAACCAAATCAAGGGCAATTTCCTTATTGGTGGCTGTGTAGTGAGCCGTATTATCCACATAGCTGAAGCCGCTGCCCACGGGATTGTCGATGAACAGGACATTCATATCCTTCACCCAGGTCCAACTGCGCCAGTCGCCGTACAGATCAACGGGTCCCAGTTCCTCAAAGTTTCCGTATCCTGTGGAAGAGGCCCCGGGACCTCCCTGAAGCCAAATGGCTAGCGGTCTTTCCGTGTAACTAGACACATTGGCGGTGGTGTAGTACAACCAGTAGAACATGTGAGCACCTGGACGCACGTCCACGTAGCCCCAGTCCTGATCACCGGGTCCATAACCGGGCTTACCTAATATATTTATTGTATACTATAAAAGATAGTCCCTCATGCTTCCCTATTCGGAAGATATGGCTTACCTTGAGCCAAGGCGGCGAAGAACGCCACGAATGTTACCAGCCAAATCGACATCTTTAACTGGAAGCAATAGTGTAGCGCACGGCTTTATTTAAAGGCTAAAACATTATCAGTAGCAGTGGACATCAGATAATACTTTTGAAAAATCTAATCTATCAAACTGGTGCTTTGTAGAATTATTATGTATCTCCTTCGATCAAAAATAGGAATAAGCAAATTAAAAGAAATATGTGCTTATATAAAAAGAAACTCCGTTCAAATTAATTATTTTATAGATAAAAAGTATACTTCATAATTCGCCTTCTGATACTTTCAAAAACACCGTTATCACTATTAGAATTCGATCAACCGAACTATCGACCATCGATAATGCTTCCAGGACTGGCAACGCTGCGATGGGCATTGTTTTTGCAGGAGCAGCTGTTCTCGTACTGTTGTTGTCGCCTTTGTGTCTGCAGGTGCAAAATATTAAAGTAATTGGATTAATTTCGAATTAATTAAGAAAATCGAACCGCAATCATGGCCACGATGCGCATACCAAAACAGAAGGTGATTCTGTGCGGCGACTATGGAGTGGGAAAGAGTTCTCTGTTTCGGCGATTTGCCACCAACACCTTTGTCACGGATACGGATAGGAAATCCACGCTAGGATTAGACCACATCGATAGGGAATACAGCGTAAATGAAAAGCAGATCAAGGTGGGTTTTGGGTGATGCAACCCTGATTGTAGATTGTAATAAGAGACATAATAATATCCTCAAAAGAGCCAAATCCCTTTAAACCATGCGAATGGGGGAACAAACTGGGGTCTAATAGATATGGTATTACATTTATAGATACCTATTAATATAACTAATCCAATTGATAGCTTCAATTGTGGGACACTGGCGGCATGGAGCGCGTGGCCTCTGTAACCTCTTCGTATTACAAGTTCGCCGAAGGAGCCATTCTTGTCTTTGCTTTAGACAACGCCGCCTCGTTCCACTCTCTATCTCAGCACTTGTTGGACATTGTCACCTATGCAGAGAATGCCAAGATCTTTATATGCGGGAACAAAAGCGATCTGGAGGGCAGGGAACCGGAGGTCAGCGACGAAGAGGTTGAGGCTTTCTGCGAGCAGTGCCACTCATTGATTAGTGCCACATATAAAACATCCTGTCGCAGTGGAGCGGGAGTGGAGGAGATGTTTCGGGACATCTCAAGGCAGCTGGTCCATGCCAATCGCTCCAAGATGGAACTACAGGCCTTAGAGCACAAGAGCTTTCAAGTGGACACTGCGGGCAGCAGTGCGGCGATTAACGAGGAAGACTCTTCTTCCTGCGGCTGCTAGCAGTTGGGGAACATTGAGTTTGGCTAGGCACCCATATTCCGGCCAGGCTCAATGCCCCATGCAGAGATGCATTTTTACTGTTTCCTTTATTTATTAACATTTCTCGGCTATGTTTATGATTTGTAGATACATGTTATTTTCGAATTTATGAGGAAAATACGTCCCGAATGCGAACACGAGTCATAGAGTAGGATTAGTACTAATAACCAGGCGCCAAACATTAACCATTAAAACTTTGTACACGTTATTTAGGATGGGTGAATCGTCGTAATCTGTGCCAAGATTTTGGTAATTGAACTATGAATTACAGAACTATAAGCAAAGCAAGGTTAATGGAACTCTTAAAAATAACCAGCAGAGGCAACCATAGATTACATTTTTACATGCGATTCTTGTTGAACGTAACACCCTATCCTTTCGTATATAGATTAGTGCGTAAGTCTGCAGCTTTCTTCCACAGAATATCTCGTAAAGATAAAATATGCTAAACAATAAATAATCAACTCACGACATTGGAATGGGTAGGCTTTTGGGTTACATTAAGAGGATTTTGGTTTCCTAGCTAGAATTAAGAAGTGATGGAGCTGGTGGAACTTGGTGCAAAGGTCAAGTAAAGACTGACGCCAACGGCAACCACAAAACAGACACCCACTCCGTACAAGACGACCTTCTCCCGCAGGGCTCTCAGCATCATGGTGTTCAGGGTGCGGGATGCCCTTCCTAGTTCGGCATTGGTTTCTCGAAGACGCGCCCTGGCTCCTTGAAGCGTTTCTCTCTGGTGGTGCAAATCATTTAGAACCTGGGCGCCCAGCTGCTCAGTTTCCAGAGCCACTCTATAGCCTTCCGTTAACCTATTGCCCGTCCGTTCGATCCTCTCCGAGTTGTCCAAGAGACGCTGGCGTTGGTCTGTAGTGATGGACACATCCTCATAGCTGTCACCCAAATCCAAAGTTGTGAATGCATTGGCCTGGGAGCGTTGCTTTTCCTTGGTCGTCCTATATTCCCCCTGCAGGCGTTTCAGTTCTGCCTGGGCCACTTGCAGCTTGCCATTAAAGCTGCTCCGTTGTCCCGAACTCAGTTCCCTCACCTCCAGACCCATCTGCTCCAGCAATTCCTGGGCCTCTGGTAGGCTGCTATCGATCTTGCTGCATAGCTCGTGGCGTTCACCTGGGGTAAGTTTATAAAATACAATTTTTGGATCGCTGGAAAGCCAACCCACTCACTGTTATTGTTTTGCTGCTGCAGACGTCCAATATGGGCCGTTATTTCGGCTATTAAGGAGGCATATTGCTGCTCGTACTGCTCCAACAGCGACATTTGTGCCGTTTTATGTCTAACCTAGTAGTTAATAATATTTGTAAAGCAACAATTTGCTAAGACTTTAAGCTTTAACTTTAAAGCAACCCAGCAGTTGAGCGATGATCTGGTTGGTAACAGGAAAATACTGGGGTGTAGTCTGCGTTATTTGGATGTATGACTTGTTGTCCGGCGGGGCGTGGTATGTAAACTTTCCTCTGCCTATATAGAGGATTACGGATTCGATTTACTGGATGACAAGGACACCAATACGTTCCCAGAACGGATGGAGCTCCCAGATGGAGTCGCTGATTACGCGTGACGCTGATGAAAACTGCTAGGAGAGGAATACCAACTTTTAGCAGGTATTATTTTAATTGCACATCAAAAATTGCTGAAAATCAGCAATAAAAACAACTATTTTCTTATTTTGATTAATAACAAGACTTTCATCGATATTAGGAGGCCTTAATGGTCTTAAGCTATCGGGCTGTATTACACTTCGATATAAAGTTGCTTATCGCCTGCATGCTGCTACCAGTACTAGATTGCTGCCAGAAGCACCCTGTGAGTGTTTGGTATGATTTTCAAATTGTCGGGAAAATCACCTCGAGGCTGCATCCGTTTCCGGTCTGGTTCAGCATTCTAAACTTTGTGATGTTTTTAGACTGCTTTTACCCACCCAATAGGAAAAAAATTCAAACATATTTTTGACCTTTTTTAAATTATTCTTTATCTTCCTAAAGTAATTAATAAATTAATGAAGTATGTTCAGCTTTATGCGAGTGGAGATTCTTTGTAAGCCTAAACAACTCGTTTGGCGGTAGTATGAGAATTATTAGTACTACTTGATACATATATACACTGTTCATCACATTTGTGTTTTGCTTTTTGCGTTTTGTCCTTCCGACCTCTTCCCAACCTTAACCCTCGACCAGCGTAGCCTTGTCACCTTTACGGAGAACCAATTCCAATTGGGAAAGCAGACCAATTGCCCGGAAATTCTCTTTAAAGAGCACAAAGTCCTCAAGTGGTTTTAGGTACTCCAACGCCTGGTGGTAGCTCTCCAACTCTTTGAGCACGGCCAAGGCTTTCTTGTCTTCGGGTTCTGGGGATGCGTGCCCATTGGCTTGGCTGGCGGAGGAGGAGCTTGATCCGTTGACGATCTTCTTGGGCGAGGCTGGTGCTGAAGCCGGCTTAGCAGCGGAAGCTGGAGCTGGTGAGTCCTTTCCTTTGGCGGACAAGGCGGGCGTGGACTTGCCACTTGGCCCACCTCCCTTTGGGGCATTCTCCTTGCTGCTGGCACTGTCTCTGCCTCCACTGTTGTTGTTATTCTGCTCCTTGGGACTAGGACTTCGGCTGCCCTTGCTGGATTCTGCGAGTGGAAGTGGTGGCGAGTTCACCGATGAGTTGATCTCCTGTACTTCGTCGTCGTCCGGTGACTCCATTTTCGGTCTCTTGGCCAACTGGACGGGCTGGAAGGGACTGGCCCGCTGGGGAGGAACATTTGGTGGCAGTTGGGGCTGGAAGGGTTCCCTTTGCGGTGGCATATTCGGGGGAAACTGCGCCTGCTGCTGCATCTGCTGCTGCTGTTGCTGGAGTTGTTGCATTTGCTGCTGATGCCGCTCGAAATAGAACTCATTGAAGTTGGCGAAACCGGGATGTGGAGGCGGATGTCCGGGATGTCCTGCAAATGGTGGCCATGGGTGACCCATCTGATGCTGCTGTTGTTGCATATGCTGCTGCTGCAGGGCAAAGTGTTGCTGTTGCTGTTGCTCCTGGTAGCTCTGCTCCTTGACATCCATACTGTCGTCGTCCTCTTCGTATTCGCCGTACTGCTGCATATAGGTCATGTACTGCTCGGGCATCTCCTCCAGCTTGGCCACTCTCTCAGCGCTGGCCGGTGGAAAGAGATGAGCGAGGTCCTGTACGATGTCTGGGATCCATAGGGAGGATCCCAGAGGCTTCAACTGGTTGCTGGCTAGCTTTTGGGCAAAACCCTGAAGGTGGGTCTCCCGGAAACGGTTCAGCCAGCGATTGTCTGCTATGAAAGAGGTGCTGCCGATGACCTGGCGGGCATTCTCCGCCTTGTCCTTGATCATTCCGTGGGTAATACTGCCCCGCAGCTGCGGATTGATGTTGGCCCTTACGAGCCACTCGTAGACTACTGCATTTATGTAGGCGCACTTCCGGCTCCTCTCGATCTCCTCCACCATGGCCTGTTGCTCCACGGCCTCCAGATTAGAAGGGACCTCCAGTCGTAGCGTGGGCAAGGCGTTCGACTGGAGCCTCCTGCCTCCCAGGACACTGGGGTCAAAGTGCAGGGCGCACACCACTGGCTTCTTGAAGGGCACTATCCTCCTCAAGGAAGCGTGGCAAGCCTCCTTCCACAGCTTGTGGAACGGATTCTCCGGGCGGGGAAATGCAAAGAACTGCATGCTGGGGTGCTGGCGCGAATTGGACAGACATCCGATGATGCAGCACCGCCGTATGGTCGGCATCTCGACCTGCGGATGCGGATGGAATTGCTGTTGGCCCCGAATCTTAGATGTTGGAGTGCTGGCGTTGCTCACGCTTCGCCAGGCCACGAAATGGAAAGAAAATTATAATAACTCCACCGGAATCTGCAAGAGACGATTTTCAAACATTAGTTAGCTGCTAATTTATTCCAATTTAAGATGTAAATCAAAAGTTTTTCCGTTTAAGTTTTCCCGCCCTCGCAATGTCCTGTAAAAATAATCGGGTGTGGCAGCGCCTGTAATCATTTTGCCTCGGCGCTTTCTGCAACAAGTGTGCGAATTTGAATTTTATAGAAAATAAACTTAAACTTAAGTTTCTCACTATCGGTGAGGATTTAAGTAATGCATGTACAAGAGCAGATAAATATTTGCTGATAAGTACATAACACTCATCAGGATCAGGTCCAGGGTCGAGTTGATTTCGCCTTGCCCGCCTGTCTGAATTTATTTGTATATCTCAACAGCCGGACACGCCCCTTCGACGCCCACAAACCTCGGCTGTATAAACGTTGAGATTTCAATAACATTAAGAAGTAGGAAGTTGGGATTAAGCTGGCGCATCGCATGTTTATTTCAGACACGCCCACTCTAATGCTCACAACCAGCGTAAAACTAAAAAAGCTGAGATCTCAGGAATTATTAAATCTAGAGTTTTGGAAGCATGCATATAGATATAAGAGACGTCTACTCCCACTCTAACGCCCACAATCCGGGGACAACTGTATCGCTTGTATATATGAATGCTAAAACATAAAATGTTCGGCTTAAGCTTGTAGATTCTTGATATGCCAACGCATTGCCTGTTTGTTTCAGCATCCGACCACACCCACTTTGACGCCCACAAAAACTGTGCCGGTCTATTAAGGCTAAAGTTTTGGTTTGAGTTTTAACCTATTTTTTTATATACCCATCGATTTACTTTTGATACTTTTTCAAAAAATATAAATGTGGTTGTGCTTATTTTTCTTTTGATCACTTGTTCTGAGAACAGCAATGAATCAGCTGAAAACGTTCAATGAATTCGACGAAGATGCTAGTGCTTATCTCTTGGGTCTCGAAATTCGAGCTCTGGCGCATGACTCATCGAAATGATGGCAACGCAAATAGAGTATAAAATATATCAGAGTATCTTATATAGACACGATAGCGAGGCCTCGAATAAAGCATCTGCTAATAGCAAGACCACTTCAGAGAGTTTGAATACTCAAGAGGAATACGAAGGCAGAAGATAAAGATATAACAGCCGCAGATAGAAACACAGATACCCACACCACAAAAAGCTATAAAACTGCTAATAGTTCGAAACTGCTGCCTTCGCCTTCGGAAATCGATACAGCCCCCGAAAAACCAGAACCACGGCAATACCTCTAGAGCCTCATATCGGGCAGTACTCTTACGAATACACACACCCACTTGTATCTTTCATTCACCGTCGTTCAAATACACACCACTGGAGATTTCCACAGAGGTGCCTGGCTAAGGCGAACGACTCTGCGCCGCGCCTCCTTATCCAACTATAAACGAGAGTTTAGAAGCGGCAATGATACTGCAGATCAGTAGATCTCCGCTGAGTCACGGAACCACCTGCCTGAGTCAGAGCCGGTCTTTAGATTAACACAGATTCCCAGAGATCGAGATGACTTAATCCGAACAGCATGTCCGTTTCATTTTTCCTCACTCTAAAATCGGGTCGAACAACCGAGATTTTTGCCTTGACTTTCTCAATATTTCAGCATTTTTTCAATAAGGAGAGTAGATGTTATCTGATTTGCATTGCGATTACATTGATTTATATATACTCGCAAGATGAGATACACTGAAGGAAGTAGCTAATGTAAAATTGGTTTTTACTCATAATTCATAATTGACGAGACAACCTGAGCCGGTGGATCTCAGGATCCGTAGTCCTCCCTTATTGTTCTCATCATAGAAGTGAATGTTGAAGATTTAATGTACATTTTACAACTACGGATGGCCAAGTCCCAAGGGAGTTAACTCGAGGTTACGACCGGTGCTTCCCCCGCTTCCGCCCGCTTTCTAAGTTGTTGACACGGATTTACGAAATTGGGCTTTATCTCTCGGCCAGCTTAGGGGTTGCTCACTGTTCCATCGCTCTTTCTTGCAGATTCCGACTCCCGTCCCTTTGCCGTGCCTCGGGCAGCTGTTCGCTATACTCGAGCAAAGTTTTTGTGCCGGAAACTTCTTGGCAGCAGCAGCGGCAGCGACAGAGACAGCAGCGCTGCCAGCGTCAAAGTTTCAGCTCGAGAAACCCAAACTCAGGCGAACCGAAGGAAAGGAACCCAAGCCCAAGGAACCCTTCCACTTTTCCATCTTGAAGATACTCGCACCTTGACACACACAACGCGACTGCGCTTCGTCTATGTCTCGTAGCAGTGTGTGTGTGTATCTGTGTGTGTATCCGCACGCACACCAAGGCACACTCGAGTGCACTACACCATCAATTCCAATTCAAATCTCCCCTGACTGACTCGCTTTATAAATGGTTTTATATTTCCTTTTATGTCGCTCTCTATGGCCCAGGCTATGGCTATGACTATGGCTATTGCTATGGGTATGGCTATGGCTCAGACTCTGAGTATGGCTATATATTTACAGCAGCGGCCAAAGGAATAGCTATGGGTTTCGAAAAACCCTCTAAAGATATACATCTGAATCCTATTAGATCTGCAGAATATAGATATATGAATTGTGATGCTTTAAATCACCTGTTAAAAAAACTAAACTATTTTCAAAAAATATATTTTATAATATAAATTAAAGTTTTCCTTGCTGATACTTTTTACAATATGATAAAAAGTATATAATTAATGACTTGAATCGATAAGCTGTTAGCGCCACTATTATTTTGGCGGCGCCTGTAAATATATACAGAGCATCGGATGCGGACGTTGGACGTGGACGTGGATGTAGCTCCAAGTACGAGTATCTCGACATCTCAGCTCGCTCAGTTCAGCTCGCCTGTTCAGTTCTTGCCTTTCTTTCCCTTATATCGATTGGCACTTTATCTTAATCGCCTCGAGAGTTGTCCCTCGCCAGTCCCCGGGGGGATTCCCCGTGCCAGGTCCTCCTCCGCCATCCTTCCCCAATCTGCAGATTCCGATTCCGATTCCCCTCCCACAGACTCACCCTAATGGCTGCCTATGTCGTCTTTGGCTGCCTTAGCTCCTGGGTTCTTCGTGAAATTTCGTGCAGCGTCATTATCATCGGAGCCATCAAGATGATGCTCCGGCCTGGGCCTGGGCCTGGGTCTGAGTCTGGGTCCCAGTCCCTGTGCTAGTCCCAATCCCAAGCCGAACCCAGGTTCCCTTTGTTGGCCACATATCTTTTGTATCTCTGTATCGCAGTATCTCCAGCCATTGTTCGCCTAGGAAGTTTAGTTTTCGGTTCGGTTTTTTGGCTCGGTTCGTTTATACGTTCTACCTACCTACTGCCTCGCGCCCTTTTGTCCATACTCTATACTATACCTATACTCTATATAAGTATATATATATATGAAAGTATAAGTATTCCCCCGTCCCGGAATCCGCCGCACTGGGGATTAAGCTGGTAGTTTTGGGTTTCACTCGGTTCAGTTCACGATGTCAGGTAATTTTGCGATTGGTTTTCGTCTTTCATGGGCTCGGGCACTGGCATGAGTTTACTTATTTATCTTATATCTCAAGGTGGTTTGGTCGGACCTTTTTGGGCTGGTTAGCAGCAGCGCATAAATGGATGTTATATAGCATGGCATGCCATGATTCGAATTTCTGTCTGTCCCTCTGTCTTTCTGCTGGTGAGTTTGTTCAGATTTGAGGGGGAAGATATACTCATGGGAATAAAGAAACAGACTATGTCTATGCTGGCTATATATATTGTGTGTCTTTGTATCTCGGTTTTATGTCTATGAGGTCATTAGTGTGAGATGTTGGATAGCGAATGCCTGGCGGTGTTCTAAGAATGTTTTATTGGATTGGCGACTGATTTTGTCATCTATTCTATGCTTCTCTCAATGTCCAATAATTAATGCTTACTTATTTCACTTTATTTTAAATTGAAATGGAAACACTAGCTCATTCTTAAGGTAGGTAAGAAGATTTACTTACAAACAACACTTCACCTATAGCAAACAGTAAAGAAACGATTTTATCCTTGTTACCACTTAATCGTAAATAGGACAGCTATGATTCAATAAAGCAGCTCTCAATAAGCAGCTTTGCTTATTAGTCATGCCCCATTTAAGGCTGGAACACCCGCTTCCGCCCACTAACACACCCACTCCGATTTCCAAATGTCCTTGGCCGTTTCAAGGACTCTGCCCCCGAGAAGCACGTTTATTCAATTGGCGCCAAATCAGCGGGCATTGTACCCTTATCACACCAACACCAACACCCACCAGCGCACCCGCCAAACGTGAAAACAAATGAACTGGCGAAAACCAAGTGAATGCAAACGAAAACCAAAACAAACCGCTCTGCCGCCGCGTGGTCTAAGGAACTCAAATAAAAACAAAAGCGGCGATTTTTCAAAAGCACACAAACAGCCACAAACACAAACACACAAACGCAAAGGCAACGGCGACGGCAGACGCACATGCAAATGCAAATGCGGCTTTTTAATTTCAAACACACAACAACAACAACAACAGCGAGGCGTCGACAGCGACGGCGACAGAATCTCAAGACCCCCTTTGTTTACATCAAACAACAACAAACAAGGGGCAGTCAGTATGTCCCCTATCACCCATCCGCACTGTGGGCTCTACTCACATCCAGTGTCACCGAAGAACGAAACTGCTTGCAGATATATCCACATGCACAGGTCGAAAAATCCAAGTCTGTTAAGTATAGTATTGCCGCGATATATATACGATATAGTCCAAAACACTCGGGATCTCTGGGAAAAAGCTGCGGACGCGATGCGTGAACCGCCGCCAACGAACGTTCAACACGGAGTGTACGAAACAGAAACTAGCGACATCATCATCGCCACAGCTACAGCTACAGCTACGGCCAACAACCAACAGCCACGACTCGACGAACGACCCCGACCGACTCGTTTTTCCCATCTATAGGAAATATTTAATCCCAAACAAGCCATGCCAAACCAAAAACCTAAGGCAGTGGCAGCGATGTGGCTGAGGCGCCGGCAGCGCAGCAGCAGTGGCTGAAGAAGCGAAGAAACGGCGGCAAGGACGGCTCGATGCCAAGAACCTCTCGACCTGAGATGCCAAAGGTGCTATGGATATAGGTGAATTTCTGAAAATGCAGGTACTCACTCACTTTTGTTCTTCAAAAATAGAGTTAAATCTTTCTAAGAGAGTTAAGCCTAGTTGATATTCATATCAGACTTCTAACTATCTTACTTACATATTCTTCCATAATTTGGATTGCCAGAACAAAAGTTTAAATATTTCACGAATATGATAGACCCAAGGAAATTACTGATATCCGTTTTACAAAAATCAAAGCATACTTTTTGGCAACTAAATATTTCTATTAAAAAAGGCGTTTTTTGAACATTAATCTATGTTAAATTTTGGTATGTTGTGAAGAATTATAAAAAGAAATATTGTAACCATGAAAAAACATTTATCATTGAAGATTACATATGTAATGAACAAAGAACCCGCAGAATGGCAAAATCCGCCAGAAAATAGCTAGACTCGCAGCGCTACTCTAGCTCAGCTCTGCAGTCGACGCTGACGTCGGCGCAAGACGTGAAAAACAAACAGGCAGAGCGACAATAACAAAAGTAGCAAGTACCAGGCGACCGACCGAACGTGGAAACGCCAGACTACGCGGGGGTGGTGTCAGTTGTCGGGCGTCTCGCCCGTCTGCCGTCGGCGATATATGCCCGAAGACCCGAACTCCAAATCCAAGCCGAACCCAAGAGCCGAACCAGAATCCGAATCCGAATCCCAATCCGAAGCCCAGCCTGTCATCTCGTCCTACCTTTGGGGTGCGTTTTACGGCTTCAGTTTGGGGAGCTTGTACATAGAGCTCTCTGATGGGTTTTTCGGGTTTCAGGCTTACGTAGAGCCCGCCATGGTAACTGCCTCCTCCCATTCCAACTCATCCATCTCGCCGTATTCGTGTGTATCTGTATCTCTCTTTCGAGGTGGATGAGTGGTTTCGGTTGTGGGTCTGACGAAATTGGCTTGGAATTCCGGTATCTATATGCTCGAGTCAGATATATCTATGGGCGTATCTATACCCACACAGAAACGCTGGTAATTATACCTATTTTTGGGTATTATTATTGGCTTTTTTGAATGGATATTGGGGTGAACCTTGTTTTGGAAATTTGAGACTGATCTTAACTAAGTCATCAAATATTTTTGAAACATTTTAATTATGATCTTTGTGATTAATTTCACAGATAATCACAAATAATATAATTATAAATATATGTAAGAGTTTACATATATAAAATATAAATATAAATATAAGTATAAATATATATATGAAATACAACAAATTTCATATTATCAATAGAAAATTATGAAATATATATTTTTGGCATTCAGACTTCTGATTACCCTTCCTGGAAAGTCGGCTTAAAGAACTGCCCGCCAAAGCGATCTTTCCAATGCGCCTCTGCCTTTGGTCCACTCGAATCGTCCGGCTTGTAGGTTTTAATTTTCGTTCGGCATCAGGCCAATTTAAACAAGTTTTCCTATGGATACTCCATATTAGCGAGTCGTGAGCTGAGATGCTAGTTTAGGATTCGGAATCGGGTTCTTGGGACATTCTTTATAGGCATTGGCTTCCGTCGGCGAAGTGCCTTGGCAGCTATATGTGTGTATAAATATATATATATGAGCGCACGTAGAGAAAATCCATTCCAAGCCAAAGCACACACATATCTTGGAGATGCTGGGTTGCTGATATGCCGTGGCCATGTGTATCTTGTGTATATAGCTGTAACTTGAAGTATCGCTGCCCGGTTTGGTAGGTGATTGGGTTTGAGATTGGGACTAAATAGCTTGGACGTCGGCAGCGACGCCGGCCGAGACCGAAGCTGAAGCCATTAGGTCGAACGCGTTTTGATGGATTAGTCTTAATGCAAGTTAAAGATATAAATGGATAACGCTCAGTTTGGGTTCGTTTTTCGGTCGGTTCCCTTCCATCTCGATGCGATTCAGTGCGATTGTGTTCGGTGGTGGGAATCCGCACACATAGCATATATCCCGGCTAGTATATATTAGGTGTGTGTTCGAGTATATATAAGGAAAAGTATTGGAAAAGGTATAAAACCACAGCATCAACCTCTGCGGCGGGCGGTGCTAATGGGTGGGTTCTGGGCTGGGTGGTTATTCTGGGTGGTCTGACGCTTGGGGACTCCGAGTTTCCTCGGATGCTCGGATGCTTGACGATGACTCGACTCTATTATATTATATTCCGGCAGCTATCCGCTACTGACCAGCCAAGGAAACTTTTCTGCAAATGCTTTTACGTGGTGGAGGTTGTCGGCGGCGATGGCCGTGGCGGGGGCCGGGAGTCGCAGGGGGTTAAAGCCCTTGGCAACCTTTAGAAAACGAGCTGGAGCATCGAAGAAAATGACCTTTCCTTTTGCCATTTCATGACTCCGAATTCGAATCCGAAGTGATTGCGATGAGCCAGGAACCCTACAAGCACACACCCTCGAGCACACACACTTGGACTCGTACACTCGTACAGTGATATATAAACAGTTGGCCCTCCATAAATCGCATTTCGCTAAGCCACATGTTCTTTAACTTAAGGAAAATCGGGTGAAAATAGGGTTTGATGATTAGGTTTTGTTAACCTTGGTTAATCCCAACATGGGCTTTAAATCGATTTCTGTATCTCTAATTCTTGCAAAAGAGATACAAAAATAAAATAAAATAAATAATATTTACTTAAAAGATTTTCTAAATGAATGTTTATAAGAAAAATTAAGAATTCCTTTAATTATTTATAAATTTAAATAACTAAACACTCTCCTAGCTAGCTCATGTTTCTACAGCTTTCTACAGCTATGTTCCACTGTAAGTGGGAGGACCGCCCGCTCGCCCAGAGCTCGACTAAGCTCATCTATTATGACCTTTTTCTGGAGAGATGCGGGGATTTAGCCATGGAATTTATTATGGTTATGTATTATATTGAACCTAGCCCACCCTCCCCCACTTCATCCCCCGGGACTGAGGGAGCATTGTGAAATCGTTGCCACGACCCGAGATAGTATTTTTCCATTACCTTTTTTGATTAGGTCCGGGCCTTGGCCCCTCTAGCTCGCTGGATTCCACTGCTATGCCAGTTTGAGGTTTGGTTTTGGTCTCAGTGTTCCGTTGTTGGTCCCTAGACTGAAGGTATGTTCCTCCACTGGTATCTCCGCAGCTTTCGCTCGTCTCCCCACTGTGCGCGCTATAATCTATATGTGATGTCCGCCTGCAGCGTCCGCAGTCGGTTTCCCTGATTATCTGTAGCTGTATCTAGCCCTGTGTGTGTGTGTGTGTATCTATGCGACGACGACTGTCGCACCCAAAAGCACCATAGGGACCTGGATTTTTCCTAGTAATTTCCTTTGTGCCTTTGGCCACTCCAGTTTACAGTTCCCGTTCCCCTTGCTCAGTGCCCCCTTGTTAGCACAGTTGACGCCGCTGTTAGTAATCCCAATCCCAATCACAATCCCGATATCGCTTCCCATCCCCCCCGCCGTCCATGTGAATGGCGTTGCTATTACGAGTTTGTTGCCATTTCCATATCGGGGTTTTACATCTCGTGTTATGCCCTGAACTACTCGGTGGTGTAATATCGTTCCATTGGCACTGTGGTGGTGGAAACTGGATATTGGGAAAATCATTTACAGATATTTGACTTTCAACTATGGTATAAGCTATTTTGAAGTTCGAATCTGAGGCTCAAGTTTATTACAAATAAGATATCCAAAAGATATTTATCTAAAATGCTTTCAAAGAAATTTGAAGAGTATATTCTCTTGTGTTGGAAGGAAAATTACGCTTATTCTTTTGCGAAAACTAAAAAATGTATTATTTTATTTCAAATAAGTTTTTATATACCACATACTAACCTCTTATAAGTTGGTGTTATTTTCGATTTTTGATTTTTTTTTGGATTCTGCGTTTGATTAATAAATAATTTTTTAAAGTCGTTCAGTATTAAACAGTTTTCATGTGATCTATATTATTTTGAACTAATTTAAAAATTGATATGATCCTATATAAGTTAAAGCCGCATCTAACCAGTGGCCTACACCACTACCGAATGCTGTTCGAAATCCCTCGATAGCCATCTCTAGCGGGGAAAACAAGCGCAAAAAGTGAGCGATTTATATTTATTCCAAAAAACGAACAAATCGATTCGTTCATACCAAAATCAAACCCAAATGAAATCCAATACATTTTGCTGGCAACGATGATTGGATTGGCATTTGTAGCAGCCTTCCACAAGGAATCGGGACCACTGAGCGGTTGAGGCCCCGACTGTCAGACTGATGGGCTTTCTCAGAGGTTCGGCTGGGGGGAAGGGGCTCTGGAAAGAGGTCTTGGTACCCTCATTCGAATCCTCTCGACATCTTTTGCACAATAAAGATAGATTAGCATCTATCGAAGGCTGTGTGGCAGCGAAAACGAGAAATGACGAAGTGCAAGTACAAAAAACGAACTCGAAACGCTGGAGCGGCGCATGACAGAAAGCTGGGGCACATCGTCATCATTATCGTCAGAACCTCCAGAGTCTCAGCTCAAGGGCCATCATCATCGTCATCGTCATCGTCTGCGGATGGAATTCAAGCGCTGCCAGCATCCTCCAAAGCCCAAGAGGCTTATGCCATGCCGAGCCGACAGACCAAATAAGAAGTACGGGGTATAAGGCTAAGTAGCAGACCAAAACCAGACTCGTTTCGCCATCATCGCCATAGTCAACAGATCCAGTCGGTTCTCACGTTTTCCGCTCGAAATATACATATATATATATATATATATATATCTTCATTCCAGATGAGCGGGTATTCGTAGAGCCGCTCTTTGGCCGGGGTCTACAGTTTTGGCGAGCCATTCGTATTTGGCATACAATGGAAACGATTATGGCATCGTATGTATGTTCGGTGATTAAAGGGGTCGCCTGGGTGAGTCTGGTGTGATGAAAGAATCAATATTATATGTGCATCTAACCGCCGGCCAAAGTAAATAACTGAAATGGAATACATTTACAGGATGCTAATGGATGGAGGGGCGACGTGGGGCCAGGTAACTGAGTACTTTTTTTGTGGAAACTTCCCCGATGTGTCGTATGATCTCTTCAAGATTACTCATCGGGCTATTAAAAATTTTAATGAGCGTGGTAGGCTTCCCCGATTTAAGAAACAAGTCAAGGTAAGCCACTGATTGGTTGGGAATTTACTTTCATCATAAATCTGTATATATCTATCAGCTTAAAAAGACCCAAATGTTATTAAATTTCTGCAGAAAGTTCGCATTTAAGAGCCTTCTACGTTTTAACAATGAAAAACTTTTCTAAGTACAAAAGATAAAATTACATTCATAAACTTTGGGTACCGCGGCATGTCAGTTAGTCACGCCATACCCAAAGCCACCCTTGTGGGTGGGTAAGGCGAGTGGAACCAGTGGGTCTCGATGATTCCAAACAATAACAAAGGTTACACCCAGAGCGCTATATAAATGCTATAAATAGGATAGGACCCCAGGGCTTAGACATTTACAATATTAGTAAAAGGCTACGCCATTCGGTATCCTTATAAAGAAGAAGTGGTCAAAACACTCGTAAATTTGATACAGTACTGAATTAAACTTCAATGTGCTCATAAATGCCCTCGCAAGACTTGGAGTACCCAAATTAAGATAGATTTTTCTAACAAAGGGTCAACTGAAGTAAAAGATTGTGCAATAGCAAGGGTGTAAATCGATGTATATAATATTATATGTAACTTGAGTTAAGCCGAAATCACGTAAATGATTTGCCTTGTAAAATATTTATGTACATCCACCGATCACAAACATTTGTTCAACATCGGAAAGCTCCTGCCTGACAAAGCCCTCGTCAACTGTACCCAACTGGAAGTTTTCCATGCCCTCCGGCTTTACATCCTCTCCGTCCTGCGATTGGCATATGTACTATACCATACCATATATACCGAACCCCAGCAACAATCGAGGAACAGAAGAAGGAGGATGGGGATGAGCATGAGGTTGAGGAGCTGAAAAGGTATATATACGAGTAGTCTGTCCTTTTGCTCGTCGTATATCCCTCAACGGCAATTCCGCTTTCAGGGTTTTATGTCAGAGCTCTTAACGCGCTGGGGTTTCAATTTTGTTTTTGGGCGCAGCCGTGTGGCAGTAACCTGAGCCCAAGTTGTTGTGTTTGCATTGATGTTGCTTCTTCTTGTTCCACATTTATCGGGGAACCCCCCGAGCACCTAACCCTACACTCGTAGGTTTTCCGCCTTTGAGAGTGCTATAGTCGAGCCATCGCCGTCAGTCGAGTCTGACGACGACGTTGGTCGGAAATCCTTGAAAGCGAAGTCCCGAAGCTGCTGCTCCAGCTCCAGCTTCTGCTGCCCAGGAGGGCATCGTGTGCCATCGTTTGGCAAAACTTTTTTGCAATTGGGGACGGATGGCAATGTAGCAATGGCGATGCGACGTTTCCGTAAACCCGGCTGTGTAATCGTAGCGCCCTTAATCCACACTGAGAAATATAAAACTAACTCACCCTTCATCCAGAAATTGGGGAGCTAAGCTTAAAGTAGACTTTTTAAGAATCCCTTTCCTATCCAGAGATTCTTGAATATTTATATTGATATATTTCTCTCAGTGCACTTGTATGCTTAACAATCTGTAAGTGTGAGTCTGATTGTGGGGAGTGTCCACCTCCTGGCACCGCAAGGTCCCTTGCCGGTATGCTATGCTGCTGGCATCCGCTCCACCCATCTCGTCCATCGACCTTCGTATCTCGTCCCTTCACCTCCGGCTGTAGTACCCATCTAGAATTGATGTAGCACCTACAGGGCTCCATTCCCTCTCCGTTTGCCCACTTCCGGAGCTTCTGTTCCACGCACGTTCAACTTCAACTTCGCTGCAGGTCACTCGGACTCGCTCAATCTCAACCCACATCCGCATCCCCCATACCTTGGCAGGACGCGTAAAGTTTTAGAGGACGAGCGTAAAGTTACCGCGTTGATTGCGAGTCTAGCTGGGGCGAGTGGAAAAATGCCAAGCTATTATGTAACCTGGTCGAAGACCCAGGCAACCACCCCTGGATGCATCACCTTGACAGCCCTCATCGAAGAATGTGTTGGGAATCAATACTTTAAATTCTCATCGAAGGTGTAGTGTTATATAATAAATTATGGGAACAATTTATAAAATTCTGAACCACCATTAACGAAGTAATGTTTACACTAAACTAAAACTCAGAACAATGAAGTTTCTTAATTTAAAGGAATTACATTTTATATTTATAAAAAAATAACCATTTAAAGGAATACCCTGCGGAGGGTAATAAGGCTTTACCACATCAACATATATCCATCTATAAAACATAAAAAGATATGGACATATATGAACTTAGGCACAAGTATTTGGTTGAGTTCTATGGGTCTGTCCTTCTCGTCATTCCTTCTTTGCTCCTGTCTCAAAGATCTTTTCCAGCTGAGTGAGCAGGCCAATGGCCCGGTAGTTCTCCTCCATCAAGGCAAACTCCTCCAAGGGTTTTAGCAGGCGCAGTGCATCCTTATAGCTTTCTACGCAACGTGGCAGATGGGCCTCATCGCTGGTCTCAGAATAATGACCTGGACTATGGACTGGTAGAAGTTCTGTATCACCATCACCCAGCGATTGAATCTTTTGGATCTTCAGCCCGCAGGGCGTCGGGTCAACGTCCTTCTCAATCTTTCTTTTAAATGGCTTCTGCGGGGAGGCGTCACTTCCATCATCCTCATTATCGTCATCATCCTTTATTTCTATAAGTTCATGTGGCACTTCGATGGCCACGCAGTCGTCATCATCCTCGGGCTCCACTTCTTCGGTCTTTTGTTCCACTACGGGAGAATTGACCGATCCACCTTTCAGGTCATCCTGGGTATTCTTGTGAGCCAGGGTTATTCTATGTTCATTCCGACCACAATAACTAACTATGTCCCGGAGGTCCAGAGAAAGCGGCACACGGCGATTGGTCACCGGAACACCCACCGAAAAGGTAAAGTTGTAGCGACTCTTGAAGTGATTAAACCACACTTTGTCGGGAAAGAAGGACTCGATCTTCAGGATGTCCCTCAAGCTGATGGCCACCGACCGCAAATTGTCCAGATCAAGTCTGCCCTTATGATGCAGCTGGGATCGCTGGATGTACTCATATAGGCACTTCTCCAGGAACGTGATCTTCCGCTTGCGTCGCAGGTGCACTTCATCCGAAGTGGCTTGATTTTGGCAGGAGGTGGTAACCAAAGTCTTGGTGCGGTACAGAGGTCGATCAATGCCCCTTTGGTCACTAGTTGTGGGAGTGGGTTCGGGAGATCTTGGAGCCAAACTGCAAGCCATGGAGGTGTGTCGCCCACAGTAGGACATTATGTCCCTCAAGTCCATCGATCGCGGCGGGCGACGAGTTATGGTAATCTGACGATTCGACAAGGTTATGTTATAGGCAGCCTTGAAGTGATTGATCCACGGCTTGTTCGGCACAAATCCGTCCAGTCGCATGAGATCCCTGAACTCGATCGCCCGGCTGCGGATCAATTCCTCGTTGACATCGCTGTGCAGGTAGAACTGCGCCCTCTGGATGTACTCGTACAGGCAGTGGCCCAGGAAGTTGAGTTTGCGCCGCCGCAGCTCGCCCTCCTTGTTGGCGGGCTGGTTCATGCGGTTGGTTGTCTCGTGGAACTTCAGGATAGCCTCTCGATTGGACACTATGCTCTTGATCTGCTCCCAGCTGCAGTTGAAGTTCCTGGCAATCTTGCTGTACATGGGCACGATATCGTACTGTTTGATGGCGGCCACCCGCTCATCCAGAGTCAATACATTCCGGATGCGTTGCGTTCCATTGGAATTTCCTTGGGCGTCATCATTCTACAATAGAATGGGAATGAATATTACACGGAAGGAAAATTTGAGTATTCATATTAAGAGCATTTCAGCACATCTTTTTTTTCAAAGCATGAAAGAGAATACTGAAATATTTAGTCTTAAAGATCGATTTGTTAAGCTGTTGCCAAAACAGTCAGTTAACAGAATTCAAGGAAAGAAAATCGCTTATACTGGGGCTAGGGGTTAGTATGGTATACGATTTTATTTAAAAATAATGAAATTGTAGGTATCAAAGAGTTGCCCTCCCAGTTACTCACTACAAAAAGTACTTACGTCAGAGTACATTTCCACTCACTCACACATCAGTGGCGATTCGCTCTTTCCGACTCTCTCTTAGCGTGCTCTCCGATGAAAAGGCAATGTCTGCGCAAAAATAAAGTTAAAATAACTAGTTAAACTGTAATTAAATACCGGAAATTTAATGCAATTACCTCTTAGACGCAGCGATTAGTTCATAGGAATTGGTTTTACACAAATGTGCAGCAGTTTTTTAGGCACATTGTACACGCAAAATCAACGACGGCACGTTTCTATCGAATCCAAATGAAGACTGAAGCGTGTGAGTGTGAGCGCAAAGAGTACACCGATCTGAACTCTCTCCGGAGCAGGAAAAACCTGATCTCTGCGAGCGTTACGAGAGAGAAATTGCGCTCTCGATCGTATCGGAAGGCCCGCTCCCCTCGATCCATATTTTTGTGGCATGCCTGGGTTTTATTTTTAGACTGAGCCGATCGAGAGTAAATATTCTCTCGCCAAAGCAGCTATAACTGGTTTTACTTGCCAAACTACACAAATCGCATTATCGCCTAATATGAACGAAAACCGGTTTGAAATGTAAAAGCTATTTTCATTAATTTCTCTGCTCATTTCATTTATTGTGCTTAACAACACAATATTTGAGTTGTAAGGTTGTTAGTCTTTTCTCAATTAGTAAGTTTATACATACAAGTAATGAAAAATCCGGAAAAATGGTAGCTTGAATCTCGAATTATGAATCACAAATTGCAGATCGAAATCTTCGATCAGCGGAGAATTGATAATGGATTAATCAACTTCGGTTAGTAGGTCCAATGGCCCGAATGGTCCTACTGTTGATGAATTGTGGTGGGTTTTGAAAGGATGTTATTACTTTTGGGTCTATCGAATCCTTAATCTAATCTAACCTTCGTTGGAGTATGTATTAACAGCTAAGGTGATGGGGAACAACTGAGGAGGCTGTAAGAAACAATTAAAAGATTAAATCTTTTTGTAAAATAAGAAATAAGGTTGAAATCACCTTTGTTACGTTGGCATTCCTCCTGTATTTGACAATGATTTCATTGGAGCGTCTCTGGTTTTTGACGAAGACTTGGCCCTCTCTTATGCGCTTGATAGGATCCCTTTCCTTTTGGAGACGAGTTCGAGTCTGTTGTTCGAATCTTTGATGGCGGGTAGCCCTACGGAGATGTCACTCTGCGGAGGCAAAGGCTCGAGCATTTGGGGAAAGTAACCCTGGTAGAGCTGGTCCCAATGCGAATATTCGCGACTGTAGATTTTCCGCAATATCCGAGTTTTGTTCCATGTTAGTATTAAACTGTTCTTATAAGTGAGCCCCGGAATCGAGTATTGCCAGACTTTTTATTTGGTATTGCCATCGATCCGTTATTGTTGAAGATTTAATTTATTTAATAAAGATGTATTCAAATTCTATGCTTTTCCTATTATAGCGCTGGTTAATGAATATTCGAGTAATTTCTTATTTAAAAAAATTCAATCAACAAAAAACGACTCATAGCTGCTGGGACCCAGATTGCCAGATTGAAATGTTTCAGCTAATACCAAAACCATATATTCTATATGGTTATAAAATATTAAAAAAAAAGTTGTAAAAATTGCCGTTAATCTAGTTTAATCTGCATTATGAGAAGATACATAAATGTTGTGAAAATGTCGGGTAATTACATGGAATACCCAAATCATTTTTATCAAGGTTGGTTGTTGTCTTGACTATGCATATTTTAGGGTCGTGTTGTGATTACCAGATAGTTATTTTTAGCTATTTAAACTAAATTTTTGCAAAAATTTATTACAGCAGGACATGAAATTTTGAATTAATCTATGTCTTTATTAACTTTATCGCTTATGTTCTATCTATTTTTTAATATCTAATCATTGTTCTTCCTCGAAGTCATTGGTCTTTGGCGGATATTGAATGGCGTGTTCCGCCTGCATGAGCAGTCCGATAGCTCGAAAATTATCCTGGATCATGGCATATTCCTGGATGGCTCTTAGGTGCATCAATGCCTCTTCCTTGCTGTTGATGGATATCTCGTCGTTGCTTTCCGTCAAATCAAATGTTTCGATTTCTGCGGCATTGGGCGCAGTGATTTGCTCCGTTTCCGATGGCAATTCCACTGGCTCCTTGCAGCTTTTCCGGATCTTGCGCATTCCTTTTTGGTTCGAATCCTCCGATTTTCGTTTGCGATTTAAACCTACTTGCCGAGGGTTTACTGCCTCGTCTCTGTTGTCCATATACACATTTTCGTTTTCTATATCGCTAACCGTATTATCCTGCGGGTCACCGTCGCCCAGGATCGTTTCCAATGCTGAGAATGCATTCCCGGTTACAGTATGCGACGACGGGATAGGATCCTCTTTGAGTATCATCGACATCATGTCGTAAAAGGGCCAGTTTGGATGGAACTGTGGTCCCTTACCCACGTACTTGTTCCGTATGGAGTAGTAGGTTTTCTTCAAGTTCCTGAACTTTCGATCCAGTTGGATGGCATCAATGCCTTTCATCCCTTTACTTTTTAGTTCCACGACCATTTGCCTCCAGACATCTTTGATCTTTTTTTTCGGATTTTGAAAATCCTCTTGCCGTGCATTATAAAGATTAAGTAACATCCTGGTATTATATACATTCCACTTCCTTTCGTCCACTGCAAAGTAACGGCAAGTTAGTCCTCGTTTTTAATTTTTAAATTTTACCTACTTTTAATTTCCATTGTTTACAGTTTACAGTAGCAACCCTCAGATGATGCCAAAAAAAGTAGCGTTTCCTAGGCCTGCATTTTTTCGGACGGCGTGATTGTGCTATTCAGCGGGGGAAGGTATCATGATCCAAGCAGCTGTTTTTTTCTATCGATAACTATCGTTTAAGTGGCACAAAATGGGTATGGGATTTCGATTCGGAAATTATATTTATTAAGTCTTAATATATATATTGCGAAGGGAACATAAAATATTGGGATTATAGAAACATTATTTAATGAATTATGAAGATAACTATCAGAAAAAAAGAGAATCTTTTTGAGATCTAAGATACCTCCAACAGAGCAATGGGTTGCCATCTGCCGGCTGATTGGAGTTTTTATTATGCAAGTTCAGTTAAATGGCGCTAGGTGTCGCTCAAGACCACTGCATTGCATGTAAAATCATGCATGTAAACAAGCTATGACTTAATTGAAAATTGAATTCAAGATGCTTTTTTGTTCTATAAATCTAATTAATAAGTTTACCATATTTTAATTTTTAAAGGCTTAGAACATTTAGCCAGCGGAATTCGTATCTTAAAATCTAAATAGAACTCCCTTGTTATGTCGATCCAATCAGGCGTATCGTGAATTTAATTTCCGCTCAAACTAAATTGAAAATTTACATAGACCAGAACTTTGGAATATTGTTTGGGAAACACCTGTGCAGCCAGGTGAATGTGTGAAAAAGTTGGTCACAAGATCTCAAGAAGCGCACTTCCGTTCCGGGCTAGATAATAACCGTGGATGGTTAAAAAACAGTAGTTTACGGTAGCCGTGGAAGTTGCAAGTTGCAACCCCGGAAAGTGACTTGCTGCTTCTTCCATAATATTTTGTAGGGGGTGCAACGGAGCGCAACCTTGGAGTAGGTGTTTCGACCCTATGAGACTCATGTATAGAAGGAGGGCCCTAAACCAGAGTCAAATAATTGTTGCGCAACTAGGCGAAGCCAAGCCAGTCAACTGATTTTCCCATGAGGAGCTGGACCTAAACGCGATCAGTGGGGCATAAAATGTGGGAAAATAAGCACTCGGATATGATTGACAGTGGTTCGGGAACTCTTTGGAGTCACTCAGCGGTCTGCCCATGGCAATGGCTTCATTATGTTGAACAGCTCCCACAGTAATAAGACTTTCGGGCTGACTGCCAGAAAATTGCACTTCGTGCAGGCGGATTTCAAATTCATTTCGCTTAAATGTGTGGCGCTGCCTCTGGGCCCCGAAAACCTCAAGTCGCGCAGTTGGTCGGTTTCACTGTGGAAGCCAAGGTGAGATCGCTAAACAATCGACCGGTAAGTGGTTCTTTTATGGTTTACATTTCAAGCCAGCACTGAAGGAAATATAAGAGAAGCCCTTAGACAACGTTCTTACTATAATAAGTCGAATGGAGTCTTGATAATATCATTAATAACATGTCATTCTAGAAACATGTTATCCCCTAAGAATTTGTATTTACAGTGTATGACATCAGGGCATTAATCTTAGAGATTTGCTGGCTAAAATACCATTAGGGCACAGGCTGTTTGCAATTAATCATAATTATTCGAGCTATTGAAAAAGGTTTAGTCATCTTATCTTACTAGAACCTAGTAATACAATTTCTCCCAGTGAAACCCCAAACGAATCCACAGTAGACAACATCGGCTTATTGGGAGTTCAATGTTCGCGGGTCACGACTTTGACTCCATCGAGCAGACATAAATCGGAGCAGCCAACAACTTGATGCGGGGACTTTGACAGACTGCTCGAGATCTGCGATTTCCTAGGGATCTGGATCGGAATCGGGCTCAGGCTGTATGCTTCCAGGCCAGGCACTTCAATCAATTGACGGAAGTGCCTTTTTCGCCAGCGATCATGATCATGATGTATGTTATTGGCCCCGAACCGAGAGCCTACCCATTTGCTATTTGTCAAATTTTCATTAGATGGCCATAAATTGAAATCACGCGGCATTTGCTTTGGTCAGCACACAAATAAATTTCCCGCAGCCGCACTGATTCTCACGATCTCAGGAACAGATGATAGCCTGATGGAGCGATGAGGGGTATGGCAGAGGCAGAAGCCGGGGGTATGCTGGCACTAAAACTTTCTAGCTGTTCACACCAGCTGGTCTCCCGATCTATGCTTTGGTCTTGGCCAATCGCCACCTGCACTTGGGAGTTTGGCAGATCTGCCAGAGGACTTACACTGGAAGAAAAGTAAACTGAGCAAGGGAATTGAAAACCATTTATTGTTTAATAAAGAATCTTTTATTTCTTTTCAGTGGATCAATTGGTGCTAGAGCAGGATCTGAGATGCTGGACCTGGTCCCCACACGTCCGAGTATGTTGCTTGGCTAAAAGCGAATTCCAGTTGCAAACCCATTTTTGGCACGATCACTGAGCACAAAACCTTTTTGGGAAGAAGCCGCCGCAAGGAGCATTGATTTGGAGTTGCATTTGCTTTTGGTATTGGTAGTGGTATTGGTATTGGCGATTGGGATTCGGATTGGGTATAGCCAATTGCCAGAAGGCGGCCAGAACGCACACGTGGACACGATATGGTATGGCGGTATATGGTATATGGCATATGGTATATGGTATATGGCATATGGGATGGAGCATCAGTTGGGGGCTTTCGTGGGGTTGTGGCATGTGTTTTGGGGAGTGCCCAGGGGACGGCGGGCGGTGAGAGTTCGCAGGTGTGTGCTGCCGTATCTCTGGCTTCAGCTTTGGCTTCAGCTCTGAGCCTGGATCGTGATTGCTGCCAGTTGGGCTCTGACTTGGACTTGGATTTGGATTTGGACTTGGACGTCGGGTATCCAGCTGTGAGAACGCACCCACTTGGCCGTTACACACACTCACCCGCACTCACACCCACAATCAACGGGTCCAGACGAGGCCAGCGGCAAAGATCGTGTTCATGCGGTGGTTTAATGGCTACACAGAGAGAAAAAGGTGACGTTATGGCAATATTTTGAGGGGTTTTCATTAAGTTGAGTGAACGTTTTCGAAAAGTGTGTGGCCTGGCCAGCTCACATACAAACGTTGGAATGGGATGTTTGAGATTGATATTCGTTTTCTGTATCTCAGAAAAGCCAAGCACTGTGCCCGTGCTGATTGATTAATCATTGCCGGTAATTTGATTTTGTGCCTTTTGTGTGCAGTTCCACCGTTAGACGGTCGGTCGGCCAGGCCCATTACCGCAGCTCTCGTAGATCCCATAGCTCTAGTACACTCAATGCCCCGATCCGCTCGACAAGCCTCTTTCAGCGCTTTGATTGATTGTTTCATTGCATTTTGAGCACTGGGCTTGAGCTTGCCATATTCACCTGGTTGCCAGTCATACAATCTGCTCGTGAAACTGCGAGACACCCGACATGTGTTCCCTGCATCTCCATCTCCAGCTACAGCTCTGACTCCGACTCCGACTCCATCTCCGTCTCCGGCTGACTTATGGATTTGTTTCTTTTCTGGCCCCTCACTTTTCTGCATGTCAGCTTAGCTGTCAAAATCCTTGAGCCGACTACAATGTCTAAATGGCTGGCACACTTTTGATTCGGCTGATTAACAACTCGCCAGCGGAGCTGCCGTTTGACAGTTTTTCGCGGAGAAAATCGGAGAAAGATCGATGACAGTTTTGGCTGATCTTCAGCCTGACGGATGGCTATAAATTAATCGCTAGTGAATAATGCGGATTAAATTTGAATTTAAAATTGAATTACAAACTTAAGGCAACAAGGATCTTCCATCAGCTTACATTTGAAAGTACTGGAATATGTTTATAAATATTAATATTTTATCCTTCTACATCTCTTAAATCAAGTCCAGAATTACAGAGATTTCCCATGGATCTTAATAGGCTAATCGCTTAATATTTCTGTGATCCCCGCCAGCAATCAATAATAATAATATGCCCACATAATCTAGGTTTAACCCACGGCTTTTACCCACAGGGCTGAACATCGCACACCCATTCCGAGGCGTTTCCAAGCCGATGAAGGGGGATCCTTTATCGCGAGTCAAGCGGCGGACAAAGGAGTTCGCTGACTGGAAGGCGTCGAGTTCTGCCTCTAAACACCTGGGCGCCGGATGAATGCAAATGTCTGGGAATCACAAAGCGGTGAATCAGATTGTGACGTCACAATGTCGCAGTATGTCAGCGACTGCTTTGTCGAGTTCCGGGCAGATGACAACCCCTAATTGAGGTTGCCGCTTGCCACAGCCCCTGTCGGCTGCTTCTTCTACCCCAAGGACGCTCACCAGGAGTCGCCGGGCGTCGCAAAAAACAATCGCGGAAACAGCGAAATCAAAGAGCGCGCACTGGGAGAAATACTATAACTTCAGATTAAGTCAAAGAATGGTAGAAACTGCTGATGATATTCTGCAGACCTTGGAAAGAGTTGTTAAGGTTTTGATAACTTCCAAGACATAGCTTTAAGAGTAGCTTATATATTCCAAAAATATCTTATGACAACCAAAAAGTGATTAATAAAAAGGTTTCCCCTATTTTCTCCAAGTGCTTTCGATCAAAACAGCGCGCAAAAGTGCAGCTGATGCTGCTGCTGGCGCTGACGCAATCGTGGGAAAAGTTCGTGGCAGCAACCCTGACAATCCAGAACGACAACCCTTGGCCTCCTGATCGCGTCGAAGGAAGCCACACAGCTGGTCAAGATGACTTCGATTCCTGATCCTTGCCAGCTGCCAGCCGTACAGTCGCGCCTTGGTCTATGGCCGTCGATGGATGATGGCCTAGGCTGATTGGATTGCAACTGGATGGACTGTGGATGGACGGCGGAGTCGATGCCATATGTCAACGCTGCGCACGCGCAGATACAAATGTATCTGTAGCGGGAAATCAGTCCAATTAAAAATAATAAAGGTGCAACTGCGGACCGTTCGGCAGCTTGTTAGCGTGGACCAACTGCCAAGATGGCAGATTGCACCCAAAACAATAGCCCCTGATACTGCTCCTCCCCCTGATACTTCCTCCTCCTTCGGAAAATGGGCTCTAGGCGCGTGGGAAAGCCGAAATAAAGTCTGCACCTGACGCGCCCCTTTGGCAGAAGAAAACCTATGACTTCCCA